GGGAAGACCACCCGCCCCATAAAAAAAAAAAAAAAAAAAAAAAAAAAAAAAAAAAAAAAGAAGTAAAAACAGTGAAACACAGGAGAATCACTGCCTGTCAAATGTAGATACACATGCGCACACACACACAAAGTACTTACACACATATATACACCAGGAAGAAAAGAGAAGACAAACAAGCCTACAGATTGTGGGAATTTTTATCTTGTTAAGGTTTTTGCCAATAGGGCATATGTGCTCACAGGAGACAGAGAGGGAAAGGGAGAAATCACCCCCCTCCCTAAAGGAGGATGACCACATCATAATCCCTTCTCTGCACTCCTCTTGGAATTTTAGGCATGCACACATAAGTTCCCAGCAAGATTTTTTTTTTTTTTTTGAGAGGTTTTTGTTATAGAGTGCATGCGCTTGCCAGAGAGACAGAAAGCGAGAAATCACCCCCCCAGGGGCGGATGGCCACACTGCAATCCCTTCTCCATTCTCTTCTCAGGATCTTGGGCCCACATGCACACACGCCCGGTGTGAGTTTAAGCAACCAGGTCCAGGACTCGAACCGTGGTTGACTACATGGGAGCCCAGTGACATAGCCATTATGCTAACTGCTGGTCCTTCCAGCAAGATTTTCAAGCCATTGGGCCTGGGACTTGAACCACAGTCGACCATGTGTGAGTCCAGTGCCTTAACTACCATGCCACCTCCAGGTTGTGAAAACCTTAAGCTTTTCATTTTGTAATTTTATGCACTGCCTGGGTTTTCTAACCATAAATGTGTGCTGCTTTCCTCTAAAATGATCAACTGCAATTGTGGAAGCCAGCTTCCAAGATGGCCTCAGTGATCCCCGTTTTCCTGGTACACACACCTGTATAGAGTCCCCTCTACACTATACCACAATTGGTCTGTGGGACCAGAAGAATACATTGTAAGTGATGCTATGTCACTTCCAACATTAGGTTATAAAAAATGCTGTGGCTCTAATCTCTTGGATCACCCACTTTGCAAGAAGCCAGCTACCATAAGCAGACCAATGTGGCCTGCCATGGAAGTGAATTTGCGAGCCCCAACTGAACCTTGACATGACTACAGACCCAGACAACAGCTTAAGGGCAACCTTAAGACCCTGTGCAAGAACCATCCAACTGAACTGCAACTGCATTAGTGACCTTCAGAAACAATTAGCAATAGATATACTTACTATTTTAAGATGCTAAATTTTAGGGTGATTTGTTACACAGTAATAGATAATAAATAATACAGAGATTATGTGAGTTGTGGGAATATATGCCCTCTTTTGGTGTGTGTGTCTCTACATTTTAAAAAAACCTAATTTTTATTTTTATTTTTAAATTTTGCCAGAATGCATACACTCACCAGAGAGACAGAGAAGGAAAAAGAGTCATCAACCCCCAATGGGGCGTGGCATGGCCACGCCCCTCTCTCTTCCATTTCTCCATCTTATTAGGATTTTTGGGCATGCACACACATGTGTCTAGTGTGTTTTCCAAGCCAGTGGAGCCAGGATCTGAAGTGCGCAGTCAGCCAGATGGAGTCCAGCTCCCTTAACCACTAGGCCACAGGGACAGCCAGTGTGTTATTTTTAAATTATCAAGATTATTTCTAAAGTAATTTCTTTATGGATAATTATGATACAAATAAAGCACTTTACTTACTTGGAACTCTTATCTGGTAGTGGTTAAGTGCCGTGAGGGCTTCCACTGCATCAGTTTTGCATTCCCATTCTAGCAGCCCAGAAAGTGTTTTGGCAGAGGCTAAAACAAACAAAGAAGCACAAATTCACTTACTTGTTACTTATTATCAACCTAATCAAAAGTCTTTAAAAGAGAATATTCACTTACGTTTCGCATCAAACACTTTATATTTGATGAATGTAAGAACTTCATGGTCATTACACAGCTGCCAAAGAAAGATAAAACATTAAAAATATCACCAAGATAACATTCCCATGTCTTATAGAAAATAAACTTTATGGCAGCATTTAAACTTTGACATAAATTAACTAAATCAAGTATATTCTTAGATTAATATCAAGCTGTACAAGAAAATAATTTAAAAATAGTGATTCCTTAAACTGTAAATAAATTAGTTCTTCAATACAACCACAGATTTGATCACTGAAATACATATTCTTACAGCTGACTAGGGTTTATCTAATAATCATGGGCAGGGAATGAAGTTTCAGAAAAATGAATTCTTTTCTGAGGCATTTCTTACAACTAGGGAGAACAAAAAAATTTTGTTATGTGTAAGATTTAGGGACATGGGGGACCAGCAGTTAGCGTAACGGCTATGTTGCTAGATTCCCATGTAGTCAACTGCGGTTCAAGTCCTGGCTTAAATTCACGCTGGGCGCGTGTGCATGTCTGCCCAAGATTCCGAGAAGAATGAAGGAAAAGGGATTGTGGCGTGGCCATCCCCCCAGGGGGTGATTCCTCGCTTTCTGTCTCTCTCTGTCTGTCTGGCAAGCACACGTGTCCTTTAGCAAAAACCTCTCAAAAAAAAAAAAAAGATTTAGGGACATGGTAAAATAACTTCTTGAATAGATGAGTAAGGGCATCTCTTTCTAATTCCAATTCTCACCAAAAGATTAAGCCATAAACCAACAAAAGATCAATGAAGAGTAGAGGTCAGGAATGTACAATGGTCAAAAAATGAACTATAACATACCAGTAATAAATAAAGTACCAATAAAATACTAATAAATCTAACATAAGAGGAAGACGTTAAAATGTGTATTTTAAAATAAGAAATGGCAACATTCTACCTTTGTGAAGGTCTCTTCAGTGACACACAATGGAACATTATAATAATGCAGCACACATGATGGTGGCTGGATTATATTCTTAGACGCTTGGCCAGCACTTGTAAAGCGATTATTTTTGCTCATTGCAAAATCTTTGTAGCTACTTGTACCATCCTCCAGCTCAAATATTTGACTTGGAACAACTGAATGTTGTTTTGACACACTGAAGATTGGAAAGAGAAAACACACAGAACATATCTTGTTAGATAAAAAGCAGCCAACAGTCAAGTCAAAGTGTTAACATACTTTGTTTCTATGAATCTTAATTAAAGGTGTTTGTAGTAGAGGGCCTGCAGATGGCGTAGTGATTACATCGCCGGACTACCACATGGCCAAACACGGTTTCAGTCCAGGACCTAGTGGCTTGAAACTCATGCCAGGCACGTGTGCATGCATGCCCAAGATCCCAGAAGAAGAATGGAGAAGGGATGCCATGTGGCCATCCCTCCTGGAAAGTGATTTCTCACTTCCCTCCTTACTGTCTCTTTCTTTCTCCTCCCTGCAATTGCATGTCCCCTAAGGCAAAAACCTCTATTAAAAAAAAGGTACACGTAGAATTTAATATGTAATATTCACTTAAATTTCTAGTTTGGAGTCCGATCACTCTACAGGTTAGGCATTAATTAGAAAAATAATCTATCAAATACACTCATATTAGAAAACTTTAGCGACCAGCAGCTGGCGTGGTGGTTAAGGGTGCTGGACTCCCACATGGCCAACTGCAGTTCAAGTCCTGGACCTGGCAGCTTGCTTTCTCATTTTCCTTCTCTCTCTCACTCTGTCCCTCTCGGGTCAAATTAAAATAAAGTTAAATAATTCTTAAAAAAAATTTTTTAATATAAAAATCTGCCCATTTAAACATGATTATAAAACTAAAAACTATGTATAGGTAAGAAAAATCTGAATTACGTGACCCTAAAATTTGTCTAAAATGATGATAATACCTACAGCTTCTATTTTCTGATGTGTCCTAACTTATGTTAAACTATTCTGAACTTGAAATTAATGTTGCTAATAAAAAGTACGAAGATTTTTAAATATTTAAAAAATTTATCACTTAAGACAAATAATTACCAAACATTAAGTCTTTTCCCAAATAATTTGACATTATTAAGGTGTGTGACAGCTCTTTCTACAGCATACTCATCACCCATTTCTACCAGTGCTGTACCAGGAATGGTCTTCATAAATTTTACCTGTAAATACAAAAATCCCAAAAGGTGACCATTAAATTCCCTTTTATAGTAAACATATTTTAAAAAACACTATTATCTAAAGTGAAATACAGATGATCATTTGGAATCTTAATTTTATTCTGCTGTGTTGAGACATGCTTAGCTCTTACCAAAATTCAATAAAGTTATAAGAGAAGACTATGGGCCAACACAGTGGTGCATGTTAAGATATTGTGCTTCGCAGCCTGGGACCACATGGAGGCCTGGATTTGATTCCCAGTCCAATCAAAATATGGGTGGCAGTGGCATGTGATTGCAGTCCCAGCTGGGAGGCTGAGACATGACATGGTGAGACTTTGTCTTAAAAACAGACACAAAAAAGATTATAATGTTATTGTATAGCACACTGAAGAAGAGCACAGGCTTATCCAGGCTGTTACTTATTATTTACTTTTTTTTTTTTCAACTTTCCCAGAGGGCACATGCACTCAAACACAGAGAGGGAAAGTGAGAAAATATGCCCCCATGCAGGATAGCCAGGCTACAATACCATGTCTTCCTCTTTATCCCTTCTTTCAAGATTTTGGGCACGCATGCCTGGCATGTTTAAATCACATAGCGGACCATGTGGGATCCAGCTGCCTTAACGACCATGCCACTGGTTGGCCTCATTTATTATATAATTTTGGGGCAACTTACTTCTCTGAGTCACAGACTATTCCTATAAAATGGAGATAACTAATAACTGGCAGGACTTATCAATATTTATTCATTCAGCAAGTATTTACTAAGTGTCTGATATGTTTTGATAAGCACTATGCTAGATACTTGGGTTTTAATTATGAACATGAGAGACATGATCTCAGCCTACTGCTGTAGCCTAGTGGTTAAGGGAGCCAGATCCCATGTGGCTGACCACGGAAAGAATCCTGGCCCCAGTGGCCTGAAAAATATGCGAGGTGCGGGGAACCAGCAGTTAGCGTAATGACTATGTCGCTGGACTCCCACGTAGTCGACCGCGGTTCGTGTCCCGGACCCGGTGGCTTAAAACTCACGCCGGGCATGTGTGTGTGCGTGCGTGCCCAAGATCCCGAGAGGAGAATGGAGGAGAAGGGATTGCGGCGTGACCATCCCCCCTGGGGGGTGATTTCTCGCTTTCTGTCTCTATGTCTCTCTCTTTCTGTCTGGCGAGCGCACGCGCCCTACAGTGAAAAATCTCTCCAAAAAAAAAAGCGAGGTGCAAAGGCACGTATGCCCTGAATTCCAATGGGATGGAGGGGCAGAAGGGATTGCAGTGACCACACCCCACACTAAAGGGTACTTTCTCCTTCTCTGTGTCTGTTTCATACATATCCTGGTGAATACACATACCCTCTGGCAATTGAAACAAAAAGAAAGACATTATCTCCTTGAGTCTTATATTCTAGTAGGTAGGTCAGAAATTTTAAAGTGGACAAAGAATAATTACTAACCATGCAGAGTTGGGTAAAGGGATTAAATAAGATACAATATATAAGAAATAATACAAAATGAACTTCAGATAGCATGCCCACTGGGAAGGTTTGTGCAACATTAAAAAAATTTTTAATTTGGGGGCAGGTGGCATCGTGGTTATGGTCGCTGAACTCCCTTAGGCTGACCACAGTTCAAGTTCGAGTCCAAGTCCAGGTCTCGGATCTGAAGGCTTGCTTTCTCACTCCCCTCACTCTACTCTGTCCCTCTCTGGTCCAATTAAAATAGATAAATAAATAAAAGTTAAATAACTTTTTTTTAATTTTAAATTTTAAAAATAAGCAATACTTTAGGCCAGTCAGTGGAATGGTGATTAAGGTAGCTAGAGCACATACAGTCAACTTCACAGTTCTAATTCTGGACCCAATGGCTAGAAAAAAACACCAGGCACCATGTGCATGCCTGCCCAAAATCCAGAGAGGAAAATTGAAGGATAAGGGACTGAGAAACGGCCACTCCCCCACCCCAGAGTACTTCCCCTCTCTCTTTAGCAAGTACACGCACCCTATGGCAAAACTAAAAATAAATAAATAAATAAAACCAAAACTTCACAAGTTTTCATAGTACCTTAGGCAGAGGCCATACTTAATTCTCTCTTACTATTCTAATTTTACTACATAAAACTCTGAAAGGTCAGACGGAATAAAATACTACAATCATTCAGCATAGTGCCTAGCCTTTGGAAAGTTCCTAACAGGCTAGTAGGCAGCACTGACATATGTGACATCTTATTTGTGACATATGTGACTTGCTTATTTGTCACCTCAAAAAGAACACTGAGACCATATATACACAATAAATGAAACCTGGCCTTTATTTTCAACACTACCAACTATTTTAATCGAATATCCTAGCATTTTTATACTACACCTGTAATTAAGCAAAACTTAGTCACAGAAAGATTTTTTTAGCTTCATTTGCCAAGAATGTTGACAAAAATCCTCTCCCTTGATTTAATCCAGTAACATTCTACAAATCCAAAAGTGAGTAAGCAGATACATTAAATATGTAGTTCTTATACTAGTAGCTCTTTAAAAAAGTTAGGAAAAATTAACTATATATATGGCTCTTTGGAAGATTATGATGGTTTATATTTAATGTATCATAACATATTTAAATGGTTAAGAAGTTTTGAGGAGACATGGCATGAGAAACTAGAATGAGTCTAACAGAAAACTTAAGTTTTACTAGAAAAATTTAGTTTTCTAAATTATATAAGACAGTTCATAGCACAAAGAACAAAGCTCTATTAAAAATGCTAAACTGCGATAAATAAATAAAAGTTAAATAACTTTTTTTTAATTTTAAATTTTAAAAATAAGCAATACTTTAGGCCAGTCAGTGGAATGGTGATTAAGGTAGCTAGAGCACATACAGTCAACTTCACAGTTCTAATTCTGGACCCAATGGCTAGAAAAAAACACCAGGCACCATGTGCATGCCTGCCCAAAATCCAGAGAGGAAAATTGAAGGATAAGGGACTGAGAAACGGCCACTCCCCCACCCCAGAGTACTTCCCCTCTCTCTTTAGCAAGTACACGCACCCTATGGCAAAACTAAAAATAAATAAATAAATAAAACCAAAACTTCACAAGTTTTCATAGTACCTTAGGCAGAGGCCATACTTAATTCTCTCTTACTATTCTAATTTTACTACATAAAACTCTGAAAGGTCAGACGGAATAAAATACTACAATCATTCAGCATAGTGCCTAGCCTTTGGAAAGTTCCTAACAGGCTAGTAGGCAGCACTGACATATGTGACATCTTATTTGTGACATATGTGACTTGCTTATTTGTCACCTCAAAAAGAACACTGAGACCATATATACACAATAAATGAAACCTGGCCTTTATTTTCAACACTACCAACTATTTTAATCGAATATCCTAGCATTTTTATACTACACCTGTAATTAAGCAAAACTTAGTCACAGAAAGATTTTTTTAGCTTCATTTGCCAAGAATGTTGACAAAAATCCTCTCCCTTGATTTAATCCAGTAACATTCTACAAATCCAAAAGTGAGTAAGCAGATACATTAAATATGTAGTTCTTATACTAGTAGCTCTTTAAAAAAGTTAGGAAAAATTAACTATATATATGGCTCTTTGGAAGATTATGATGGTTTATATTTAATGTATCATAACATATTTAAATGGTTAAGAAGTTTTGAGGAGACATGGCATGAGAAACTAGAATGAGTCTAACAGAAAACTTAAGTTTTACTAGAAAAATTTAGTTTTCTAAATTATATAAGACAGTTCATAGCACAAAGAACAAAGCTCTATTAAAAATGCTAAACTGCCGATTTCTGATTGTCTACGTATGTGAAAAGTACAAACAGAAAAGAAACATTATATAAATAACATTAAAACAAAAACGTCCATTTATTGTGTCATCAGGAAAGTCACGACGCATTTCTGCATAGAAAAATACATCGCGATTTTCCCAATGACCTGATAGCTACCAAACATACAGTTCTTAGACTTTTGGTCTAGAATAAATGTCTGTGTAGAACAAATCAAAACTACTTTTCCCAATGTTACTAAATCTATCCCATGTATTCTTAGCCAGTTATATAAGCAGAACTAGCCCATGATATCACTCAGAGTGAATGTAGAGTTTACTTTCTTTTTTCCTTTCTATTTATTATTGTGATTAAACAGTTGAGGAAATTCAAGTTTCAAAATTCAGAAGAGTTGCTTTACTCAGTTTAAGGAGGCTTTAGAATTAATGAACTAAAAATTAAAATTACTGGGAGGAATGTGGCATAATGGCTACATTGCTAGACTCCTGTGTAGTTGACCGTGGTTCAAGTCCCAGACCTCATGGCTTGAAATTCATGCTCAGTGTGCACGTGTGCATGCCTAAACTCCCAAGAGGAGAATGGAGAAGGGAATGCAGTGTGGCCATCTCATTTTCTGTCTCTCCAGAGAGCGCACACGCCCTATAGCAAAAAAAAATCTCTCTCAATTAAAAAAAAAAAAAAAAAAATCTCAGGTTCCCTTCCCACATACAGACACCTGTATTTGATGACTGAAAAAAATAATAATACTTAAAATAATATGAAAAAAAAATTACCAACACTATTAAAACTCAAATCAGCAAGTATAT